TCCTCATCCTTTTCCTTGCTTGAGTGAGCCATAAATATAGGATAATATGCTTTTACATATCCTAGCTTCCTATATTTAAAGCAAATAACATCAGAAGAACCTTTAGAATACTTACTACTCTTGCATTTGTTCCATTTTTTATGGTACTTTTGTTCTTCCTTAGAAAGTCTTTTAATTGCCTAGTGATTAAGGCAATATCATCACTTTCAGACCTAGAAGAATCAGTATCCATATCATTAGCCTTCAGTGCCACAGTTTTCTCCTTTCTTTTCTCACATGCATCAAGTTATCTTTGGTTCACTTCTTGCTCATAAGCAATGATTGATCCAAGTAAGTTATCAATAGAATAAGTATTCAAATCCTTAGATTCAATGATAGTAATTATCTTAACATCATAGGAAGAGGATAAACATCTCAAGACTTTGTTAACTTTCTCATAATTAGTAAGTTCTCTTTCTAAGGCATATAGGGAGGTGATAATTTGTGTAAACCTAGTATACATTTCAGATATTAACTCACTAGTTTTCATGTGAAAGAGTTTATAGTCGTAAAGTATTAATCTAGATTTCTTAATCTAAGTTGTGCCTTCATAAGTGATACATATTTTATCCCAAATTTCTTTACCAGTTATATAAGTTGAAACAAATGTAATTTTCATATTTCAGTACATAGTAAAAATAGTTTAAACCTTTTGCATTAAGTTATGCTAAATCCCTATCATTAAGAGTCCATTCAATAAAAAGAAGTTCAAATTTGATGTCATTAGCTTCACATGATGGTGTACAATAACCTTCTTTAAAAATCATCCACGTGTGATAATATATAAATCATAAAAACATGGACATATGAGTTTTCTAGAAATCAAAAGGTATATTATCAAATAATGGTAGTCGAATAATTGAATACTCTTATGCAATGATTTTATTACCAATGTTATCCATAGATCAAAATTCAAAGTTATCTAAAACTTGATTTTATGAATCCCTCTCTGATACTACTTGATAGTTTGTTAGGATTGTTGAACCCTTATGAACTAGCCCGAGGCTAACCAAGAGGGGGGATAAATTGGTAGTTTTAAAAATTCTTAAACAAAAAGCACGATCATTTTAAAATATTTTAAAACATTAAATTATATGATCATCCTAGAGAATATAAAGTGTGGAAGTTAAAATGCATAAACATAATAATAAAGAGGCACACCAGATTTTATAGTGGTTCGGTCAACTTGACCTATATCTACTCCCCGAAGCCTCTCCTTTGTGTGTTGCGCTAAAATTCTTTACTCTCCTTTTACTCTCATAGTAAGGCAGAGAAGCCTTTATAAACTCCTTTCCACTGACCTCGATAAGGCAGAGAACCTGACCTCCTTTTGCTTCCTCTTTAAGCAGGCGGAGAACCTTGATCGACTGTAGAAGAAGACCTCCCTAAAGCCTCCAAGGAACCAGAGACAATGACTTGAGAAGATGACTCAAATTTTTGTTTGGACCAACCTTTGTGAACCCCTCATAAACTCTCCCTCACAAGAACCTCTCTCTCTTTCCTAAGCTCTCCCTCTCCTTCCCTCAGCTCTCTCAGGTCAGGACAACAACGAAAAATCTCCTATTAAATAAATAAGAGATCTTATAAAAAAAGAGTTTAAAATTTGTCCTAATTTGAACCTTGTTATCTAAGATTTTCTAGGACGATCGCGATCAGTATACTTTCAACCCTTTCAGCCAGGATGATATGGATGGGCTAGATGATTAGAAGCCTTATTTATTCTGATCGTCCCAGACGATGTGGACATCATCTTGTATGATTAGTTCAAAATCTTATATATCGTCCATCATATTATTCTGGTCGTCTAGAAGATACATGTTTGACGACGAAGAAATATAACTTATCGTCCCATATGATTAGTTCAAAAATAGGGATTATCATCCAACATATCGTTCTGGTCAACCAGGTGATACACCTGGACGATAGAAAATTTCAACTGATCGTCCAACATATTGTTCTGGTCGTCTAGGTGATTCAGGAGAAGACTAAGGTTTTTCTTATTGATCGTCTAGGACGATATGATCGATCAATCAAATCTTAATTACTTTTCTTAATCACCTGACTAATTTAGGCATAATTGTAATGAATTGTCCAGGACGATATGTGATCATCCTGTACGATTACTAAAAATAATATCATACCTTAAAGAGTTTAGTGGCTGATTTTTTCTGATTTTAGCCTATCATCTCAAACGATATAAATATTGTCTAGGACGATTTGCTTAATTTGAATGTCTTAACATAGGAGCCCTAATTAGGATTTCTATTTTTACTGGATTGTCCAGGACAATTTTGGATCGTCAGGGACGATATGATCAAAAATGAAAAACTCTAAAACATACAGAATTTCTCCCCCTAAGTGTGTGTGTGCAAGGTTACTTAGCACCAAGATAGACCTTATTACATTTGACTCAAGAAAAGGAAAAATAATTGGAATTGCACTTATAGGCTAACTTAGACCCAATCTATCCAATCTTGAGCTGGCTGGAATTGCAATTGATCTTGTGGACCTGAAATGTTAGTAGGTAGGCAATAATAGAGAAACAAAAAGGCCATAAATGTTTGTTGTCATCAAAATTATAATCCTTGAATTCAGGTAAGCAATAGACTCAAATAACACAAAAAATAATTAACAAAATTTCATGAAGGTTGAGATAAATGTGATAAAAAATCTAATTTATTATCAAAGATAGTTGAAAACCTAATTAAACATTAATTGTTCCTATTAAAAAAAAATCAATCAATATTTGAGCATGGCTAAAATTAGGCTGGATTAATATATTGTTAGAAAAAAAAATCAAAAATAGTTGAATTACATGTTCTAATAAGATTATTGTACTATTTGAAAAAGGTTCTAACTTACTCAACAACAAAGAATGCTATAGAAATATGTAATTAAAATGATTATAGCGCTAAAGTTAACACAACAGAGAATAAATTTTAATAAGAAGCCTTATATTAAATTCAAATAATTAAAATGATTTATTGTACCTTATTAAGCACAATCATAATATCTATATTATAAAAAATTGTTCTCTTGAAGATCACATCTAAATTAATATAACACAGCTAATCATTATAAAAAGCATAAATCTGATCATATCTATATAACTGTAAAACAGGCTCCTGTGGATCAACAGGATTAAAAACATTTTTATCAAGCAAAAAAAGGTGTAATTTTTATTTTTAGCTGTGAGTTTAAAACATGAAGCTTGCACTGATCTTCAATAGCACACCTATTAAAAGCAACAACACATCCTCAGGAAATAGTGCAATGTCTTTCTTCAGACATGATTCTATGTCCATCAGCATAAAAAAGCATAACTTATTTAACTCTTTTGCCATCACAATACTAACTCTATATGTGACACAAGCATACATTAACAAAAGTTAGTCTTAAAAGAAATGGAGTGCAAAATAGTTAATTAGAACCATATTCAAAATTTCATCATATAATGATCAAAACATGATTAATCTTATGAGAAGCTATTTGACCAATATTTTAGCATTAATCAAAATACATTCAAACAATGATTCAGCCATCTTCAAAACATAATCAAAGCTTCAAGGATTATTGTTCAATTCTTACTATGAAAAACAAATAAGTTTTGAAGAATATTTGATCATATGCCAAGGTCAGAATAAATTTTGAGAAATGCTCGGATCTCGAATCTCATATATAATATCCTTCTAGATTTAAGATTTATAGTGTAAATATCACACACATGCATGAATCTATATTGGAATAATTATATTTGTTTTTCATTTTAATCATTTAACTAAAGCTTATCAATAAACAACGGAAAGAAACATGATTGTATTTTTTGTCAGATTTAAAAGAGATAAAATTGAATAATTACATTTTTTTTCATTTTAATCATTTAACTAGAACTTATTAATAAACAACAAAAATAAACATAATTGTATTTTTGTCATATTTAGAAAAGATAAAATTCATAGAAATCAAAATCATTAAAAACAAAAGTAAGAGATTAATAACTTACAACGAAGAGAACAAAATATTTAACAGGAATGGCAGGCAAATATGATCCAAAACCTTTCTCAATCCTCTCTATTCTTCCCTTCTTTCAATTTCTTCCTAATCAAACAACAAAGTGAGAGAGTTGATGGGAAGAGGCAAATATATATATATATATATATATATATATATATATATAATAATATGAAATATATATATATATATATATATATATAATATATTAACGTCGTTAGCTCACACCAAATCAGCGCCAAAATGCTTCTACTCAAAATTTATATTTTTTTCATAAATTTATCTCAAATTTGAGTTTTACAGCTAAATGTAAAACATCACTAATCTTCAACAACAATCACAGCTAACTAGAGACAAAAATAAAAATATTGCATTGGAACATTGTCCAAACATATCTTGCCGAATAATTGCCAAGAAGGCAGTTAGGGCATCTCCAACCGACTTGTTTGCCGTTCTCGCTTTGCTCCAACCGATCGCCATTTTTGCCACCATTTGATCGCGGATCAACAGTGTGACGCCAATATTGGCGTTGCACTGTTCATCTCGCCATTTTTTTTCTCTCTACCGAACCGGAAGAAAGGCGCCAAAGCGACGGTTAAGCGGCAAAATGGAGTTCGATTGTAGATGAAACACGGCATTTTTTGGTTTCGCTGTATTTTGGAGTGAAAAATGAGATTTTCGGTTGGAGATGCCCTTAATACGAGAACTCAACCAATTTTCTATGTGAAAATTCATATAAATTAGAGTCTCATCAAATTTCAAGAGTAATTTAGTTCGAACAGAACTTTTGAATGTTTCCTTAAAAAAAACAATGGCTATATTTATCCAATTTCAGGCGAGAGGTACATTTTTTTTTTCTTTTAATATGAAAATTTGAAAAAAAAAAAAAAAATAGAGAAGCTTAAACGTTTCTCCCAAATTATTCCTGCACTCCACCCAGCAGCTGTGCTATGGCCTCTATCCTCACCCTTTTTAGAACCTGTACTCTTCATGTATCAAATTATCCACCACATTACACTTGTGTTGATTCAAATTCAAATTCCAATCCGAACCAACTACAACTCCTTGCCAAGAAATCTTTGGAGAGTCGAGCCTCGTCTCTGCTTCAATCCTGTTCCTCCTTCTCTCGCTTAACCCAAATCCAAGCCCACATCATCCGCAACTCACTCCAACAAAATCACTTTCTTGCCTCTAGACTCCTTTCCTCATGCTTCACACTTGGCTGCTATTCCTATGCTTCACGGATCTTTGGCCAGCTCCTCAGTTCCGATGCCTTCCTCTTCAATGCGATGATCAAAGGCTTTGCTTCCGCTGGCTTCCACCGTGAGGTCTTGCATTTCTACTGCATGATGCTCGATTACAGCTACTCCTTCCCATCCAATTTCACCTTTCCCTTGGCCCTCAAGGCATGCTCCAAGCTTGCCTCGATCGTTGAAGGCAGAGCTCTCCATGGCCATGTTTTGAAGCTTGACCATAGCTCGGACATTTTCATCCAGACAGCCCTTGTTGACCTCTATGGATCCTGTTGTGAGGCAGAAGATGCCCGCAAGGTGTTCGACCGTATGACTAAAAGGGATGTTGTGGCATGGAATGCGATGGTTTCTGCTTATGTGAGGTCTGACTCTATTCTACTCGCAGAGGAGATGTTTGAGAAAATGCCTGTTAGGAATGTGAATTCATGGACAACGATGATTGGTGGGTTATTGGACTTAGGGGACTCCAGGCGAGCCTTAACAACCTTTCGCCGTATGCAACTCCATGGTGTTAAGGCAGACAAAATGGCTATTGTTACCATCTTATCTGCAATTGCTGATCTTGGATGCCTCAGTTCCGGCAAATGGGTTCACAAATACATAGAGAGGAATGTGATCCAGATTGATGTGTTTGTTGGCACAGCACTCATTGATATGTATTCTAAATCTGGTAGCATTAAGGATGCTAAGCTGGTGTTCCATGCGATGAGATCAAAAAATACATCCTGTTACAATGCCATGATCTTTGGGCTGGCAGTACATGGCTTGGGAGAAGAAGCAATACGTGTTTTTGAGGAGCTGAGAGGAAGTAAGATGGAAATAGATGATGTTACCATGATAGCTGTTCTCACCGCCTGCAGCCACTCAGGGCTTGTCGAAGAAGGCTTGAGATACTTCAAAATGATGAAGCAAGAGTATGATATTTACCCCAAGATTAAGCACTATGGATGTCTTATTGATCTCCTTGGAAGGGCTGGAAGGTTTATGGAGGCCAAGAAGATTGTGAATTCTATTCAGGTGGACTCAGTGGTGTTAGGAACGTTGGCTTCAGCTTGCAGGATACATGGGAATATAGAACTTGCTGATGAACTTTCCACTAGAATTTCTGATTTGGATCCAGAATATACTGGATTGTTGGTCTGGAAAGCCAATCTTCTTGCTGCTAAGAATGAGTGGGAAGAGGCTGCAGTGTTTAGGAGATGGATGAAAGAAAAAGGAATTGTGAAAGGGGCTGGCTGTAGTTGGATTGAGTTCGGGGATAAGGTCCACTGGTTTGTAGCTGGTGATTACTCTCACCCTCGTTCAAGTGAGATATATTCAAAACTTGATGAATTGCATAATGTGATCAAACTTACTGAAATGGAAGTCTGAGTGGGGTATTCAAAACTTGATAAATTGTATGATGTGATCGAACTTAACGGAAATTGCAACGACTTGTTTACTGTCGGTCGGAATGGTCAAATAATAAATCAGTTCACAATCCATTAAGTTCAACAATAAAAATCATTTTATACCAAAAAAACTTTGATGAACCAGATATTGAACAACTAAATTAGTGAACCATTCATGATTTAATTGAACCGTGATCATTTCATTTCATGATAAAATGTAAGAGTAAAATCATCACGTTTTTTTTTTCTTTTTAGAAGGTTCATAATTAATTTTAAAATTCGATCGTTAGCCTTGCTCGACTTCTCCACTGTGTCGTCACCTCTGTCTGTTGGCGACCTTAGCCGATCGTCTGCCTCTAGCCGGTCATCCCGTTTGGCTCCGACCATATCCAACCTATCGACGTATGCTTGGCTTCCTTCAACCCGTCGTCTTCATCTTCCTCGACGACCCTTTGTCGTTGTTTGACTCGTAATTAAGTGTAGAGGAGGCGCTTTGTCTAGGGTTTCTTGGCTCTGTTCGTGGCGTCTGGTGTTCGGTATTTCTTCTTCCCTTAACCTTTGATTTCCTACTATTTTCTTCCATATGGCTGCAAATCGGCTTGGGGATCCTGGGTTTTTGGATGGCAAGGTAAAGTCGAAATCGTTTCGTGATGCTTTATCAGGTGATTCGCCTGGTTTTCCACCGCTCAAAGTTTCTTTACATCGTGGTTTGCCTGCTTTAATTGTTTAGGATGAGAAATTATTGTCTCTTGCCACGCCTTTTGAGTTTGTGGTTGTAGGTAAATTTCCAGGTTGTTGCCCTCCTCTGGATTTGATTCGAAAATTCTTTTTTAATCGCAAATTGTGTGGTGCATTTTCAGTTAGTGTCTTGAATCCTAAAAATGCGTTTATCAAGTTAGCTAATGACCTAGATTACTGTAAGATTTTCTCTCACCGTTCGTATTTCATCGCTAATTGTTTCATGAAGTTGTTTAAGTGATCTCCCCTCTTTGACGTTAATGTTAAGTCGCCTATTATGCCTGTGTGGGTCGCTTTTCCCAGTTTGTGTCCTTATCTTTTTTCACCTCGCATTCTTCGTGGTTTGGGCTCTATGTTTGGTAGGCCTTTGCGTGTTGACAATGCCACTTCGAACGGCACTCGGTCGTCTGTTGCTCGAATTCTTATGAAACTAGATGTCACGAAATGTTATGCTTCTCACGTGTGGCTTGGCTCTGAATCTATGGGATACATCCAAAATATTAAAATGGAGGTTTTCCCATTGTATTTCTCTTATTGTAAAACATTAGGTCATTCTAAAAAGGTTTTCCCTATTTTATTTCCAAAGATGGATGTGCGTCCCTCTATTTTTGAGGTGGACATCATGGAGGTGGCTGATAATCCTATTAATGGTTTGGTTGTGGTGGCGCTTAATGAGGGGGTAGCTATTAATGATATTACTCTTGGTTATGACACTATGGTTGTTGTATCTCCTTTGCTTAATGAGGTGGGTCCTGTTATTGCGAAAGTTGTGGAGTTAGGTGTTGGTGTTCCACATCGTGATGATGTTTTAGTTTCGCCTATTGAAGCCCTTCAGCCGACTTAGTGCATTGTTTTGCATGCTCTTAGTGAGTCTGGTGAGGGTTTGTATGACTTGGCTGCTCTTATTGTTGAGGAGGTGGAGGCAGATGATGGTGTGATTCAGATGGATGGGTGCCTTGGTTCACCTAGGGTTGTAGATGTCCCTAGTAGGGTGGTTGTTGTTCCTCTTCTCCTGGGATCTGCTATGGTTGTTCGCAATATTACTGTGGATCATTTGGATGCTTTGGTCAAGATTCCCTCTGTTGAGGGGAGTAATTGTGATTCTTTGGTTTATGTTCCTGTGGGGCTTATTTCGCCAAATGTTTTTAAGTAAGAGATTTTGTCACAACCAGGGAAATCATATTTGAGACTTTGATTGGTTGGAAGACTCAATAGATTCTTCGTGCGATATGGATGATGATTTGGAGGATGAAGCTGGGGCCTTACAAGGCTCGTATGGTTTGGATAACTCTAGGGCTTTGGGTCCTCCTTTCTCTCTTGGTGGAAAACGACATCATTGCAAATATAGGAGATAGGTTTTCTCCTAATTCTTTTGATTTGGAGTTAAGTTTCTTGACTTCCTTGCCTGTCTCTTTATGTCTTTGGTATTGGATGATGATGAAGAAATTCTTCAGCTTGCCCCATGGTTGGCCAGGCTTAGTTGCAACCTTGGTGATCTTTTGGTCTTTGATTGTGGTTGTTTTTATCTTTTCTGGACTTCGATTCGGGTTGCTTGGATACTCTACGTGGACGTTTGCTGGGGAGCTATTTCTTTTGGGTGCCATCTCGATGGATCTCTTCTGGTGTTGGCTATGGTTGCTTCCACTTGCTCTTGGGTGGACTGTTCGCACTGGTTGCTTCCTAATGGTCGTTCATGGGTGGCTCTCTTTATGATCCTAGCTTTTATTTTTGGTCTTTTCTTTTTTTTTTTTTATTGCGTGTTTAGTTGAATGTTTTGCTTTAATTGATGTATTCTAGTGGGCTTTGGATTCTATAAGGACTTGTATATTTGCTTTTATCGAACTCGTAGGCCTCTTATGTGGGTTTTATCCTAAATAATAATAATAATAATTTTAAAATTAATATGAAATTTAAATATGCTTAAAAAATAATAATGTTTAAAATGATATCTAAAATATCCTGCAAAATATTTAGTCAATAGAAATTTAATTTTACATGTAGTATGATTAAAATCTATTTAAATGTTATTTGATCTTAATTTTCTTAGATGATTAATCCATTCGATTAGTCTTCACAACATCATTTTACAATTTAGTAAAATTTGAATTAATTTGGATGCATTTTAGCTGGTTGGTGGCAAAGCAAAAAAATTTTTTATAGGGCACAAATCAATTATTTTAAAAAATATCAAGGAATGGACACCAAGGGTACTCCTCTCAACAGCGGTTCACAACTAACCACAATTTTCTTTCCGCTAGGGTTTCTGCCCTAGTTTTCCCTAATCTCTTCCTCCTAGCCGCCAATCTCTGGAGGGAGGGATTGCCCTCCCATCCTCCGCCTTTTTCACATGGCCTCCTCCTCCTACCATTTTGATTTTACCCCACTATTTGGAGGCTCTTCTCCCTCTTCGTCATCAGCTCCAACCGGGTTAAACTTCATTTTGAACCTTACGAAAGAAGACCCGATAGCTCATTAGTTTTCGCTGCAGTTTGTTTCCCCCTCCTCAAAATTTCCTTTCTCGGTGGAAGACTTAGCTCTCAGTGTCCCTTCTTGGTGTCCTTCACTTGTGGGCTACACCATCAGCCCTAGACCTTCTTATTTGAGCCTTCTCAACACGATAAAAAAAGCTTGGTCTTTGAAGGGTTTGGTTGATTTGCTCTCCCTCAATGATAGTTTCTTTCTCTTCAAGTTTTCTTCACCGGAAGACTACAATCTCACATGGACTAGAGGTCCTTGGTTCTTCTTTGGAAGACCATTCATCATGCGAAAAATGGACGACCAAATTCAAGCTGAAAATATATGAGTTTTTTTCTATCCCTATCTGGGTTAAAAATATTGCTTTTCCTTTAGTGGTTTGGAACTTGATGGATAACACTAAGATCGCTAGTTTTATCGGTCATCCTCTTGCGGTATATATGCTTACAACTCGCAAGATATGGCTCGCGTATGCACGAGTCTGTGTCCTTATGTCTAATGCATCTACTCTCCCTGACAAAATCCCTCTCTTTGGATGGTGAGGATATTAATCTTAAAGTGCATTATGACTGGAAGCCATCACCTTGCACTAGGTGTGGCTTTATCGTTCACCCTTTCTCTCTTTGTCATATAAACCCGCAACCAAAGACTATTACTCAGTTGCAATCTCATGGTAGAAGCTCCAGTAGAGACCGTTCTTCCCGCCCTCCCCTTTCTAAGCCACCAACTTCCAATCCTACTAGTCAACCATCTCTTACTAGTAATCCAACTCCTACCTCTTCTATCTCTCATCCACCTCCATAACTCCCTTCCACCATGCCTCCTCAATCTACCTCTGTTGATCTAACTAAGAACAACCTCCCCACCCCCCCCCCCCCCCCATCATCCCCACCCCTCCAGAACCTATTATACCTACCACTAAAGACATTATCCCTAACCTGAACTCACCCACAGCTGATCTCTCTTCACCCGACCCTGTAGCTTCTACTGCACCTACTTAGGTGATTCAACATCCCTCATCTGCCATGGCAGACAGCCCTCTCTTCCTACTTTGGTTGGCTCTATTATTCCTTATAGAAGCAAGATAAATTCCCCAAAAAAATTTGCGGTCTTGCAACCGGACGATCCGCCATATGATAGAGACCTACTGATACTACTGTATGTAACTCCAATTCTAAGCAATCCTCTTCCCTTAATTCTCAAATCTCAGTCTCCTAAAGCTAATAAAACAAAAAGTGTCAAGAAGACGCACTCCTCACGCGCAAAATCCCGATGACATTTCCAACCATTTATTGTTGGAATGTTAGGGGAACCAACTCCCCTGATAAGGTGTTCGCTTGCAAAAAACTTGACTCTTCTTACCGTCTGGACTTACTCTGTATACTTGAAGCCCATGTTTCACCTCGTATGGCTGATGATGCTTGGTTTATTAATACCCATCAGATTTTCAGGATGAAATGAGCTGTAATAACTTCAGTTGCTCTTCTCCTGGCTGTATCTGGGTTAAATGGAACCCTTTGTCTATTTCGTTTTCTCCCATCCTTACTACTTCTCAACTTATCCATGGTAAGATTTGCTACAGTTCCTCTCCCCTGATTATGTGTTCTATCATTTATGCTGCTAATTCTCATGGTTATAGAGCTCTCCTCTAGCAACAATTATGCACCCTTTCTAAGTCCATTGACACCCCTTGGTTTATTTTGGGTGATTTCAACTATTGTAGAAATGAAAATGAGAAATATGATAGCAAGGCCCTTCAACATAGTC